AGTTAAGATTCGAACGGAATAATGTATGGGTACGGTCGATGTGACAAAGATTACATACATACACACATGCACACATATGCACACAACGAGTAATTAAATATTCTAGAATAATAAACATCGATTCTAAGAATATAAATTAGATACACGTATTGAGAATAATACGTGTCGTGTAGAAAATAAAAAATCGTTCATGACTTTACAATGAAGAATTATAAACAAGAGTCGTGTAATCGTTAGAATTAAGGAAACATCGCAATTGTGAGAGAATTATATAAACATACATATTTTTATTCATTTAATTACGTATGCATAATTGATTCGCTCGATCCATTCAATTTATATTCCTTTATTCAAATTTCAATTTTTGAATCATAGTAAAAACGAAGCATAAATGACATTTCATTGAAACTTTATTTCTCTGTAATATATATCAATTCTGATTGGCTAGTGATTTTATCAATTAAAAAGAAAAAGGCAAATTAGAATTCTTTCCTCTTAAATAATTTGAATAATATATTATTTTTCTTTTTTAGATTATATATGTACGTATATTTTTTTAACAATAATTTAAACAAACGTAATTTTTTTTGACGAGAAATCATTTGACAATAACGATATGTAAACGTTCGCATACATATATATATTCATAGACTATTAAATTATCAGAGTTTCCAAAAATTACTTGTTTATATAGCAACTACGCGATAATTGTCATATCAGTGGTAAAGAATGTTTTTATCGCATCTGTTTATTTCATGGTATATAACGATACTTTTCAAGATACCAACAAAAGTAAGAAAACATTTTTAACAATATATTATCCAATGTTAAAAATGGCTGCATTGATAAATTTAATCTGTCCATTATCCAATGAGATTTATTTAAAAAAAATATACGTTCAAACCAATATTCAAAATAATTATAGAATATTTGGATTAAAAATATATCGAAGTAGTATCAAATTTTTTACAGATTTTAAAAAAACAAAAATAATAGTTCAAGAATTGTTTAGATTCTCTTAGATATGATATTCAGAATATGTTATTCAGAAATTATTAAGTGAAAATTTGATATCTATAGAAGACAATCGAGGCTTGATTCGATTATACATACACGTGTCCAAGACTTTGTGTCACAGATCACGTTAGTCATTCGCTATAATAAAATACTGTGACGAGAGGGAGCAATTTACATATTGATCGGTCAACAAACAACGTCTCGAAGCCAAAGAGAAATGTATTATCCTCATTGTTCGATTACTCGCGTTTGAAATTCGCGCGCAATGCGTTCGGTAAAAATGGCGACGTCTATATCGTACATATTTTCAATCCATACGTAGAAATTTATAATATTCAGGATTTGAATCGTGCTAGAGATAAAAAGTAGATTTACAAATACGTAATTTCATTCAAAATATATTATCAATAAAAACAATGGATGAAAAATAATATCCATTGCGATAATCATAAAATTAGTTAAAATTAGTAAAAAAAAATTGTTATTAATTTCTAATTAATTAAATTATTAAATAAATGATATAATTATTAATATAATTAATAATAATAAATAATTATTAAATAAAATTAATAAAAAAAAATTATTATTAATTTTTAATTTATAAGATCGATAAGAATATTTATTTATTTGAGAAACGATAGTTTCGTTATCATAAAGGGACACGAAGGGGAAAGAGGGGGAGGAAAGCTCGAAGTTGAACTAGATTAACACGACTCGATTGTCGGGGTCAAGGGTCAATCGAAACCCGTACAGGACAACGCTCG